CACCCCGGGGGGCCCTATTAGTGAGGCAAACCCTCCCGATATGAGGGGTTCCACCTGGAAACCCGCGTCATCGGGAAATTTTCCCTTCCGCATCATCAAAAGAGGGTGCCACTTGGCAGGGGCCCCGAAACAGTGGGTGGGTTGCCCAGGAGGAAAGCAGGGTCGCGGGCTTGTCAGGGGAGCCAAAGGGCCACGGAGTACGGGCACCAGTTTCCACTGAAACCTACCACCACCGGGCCAGTAGGGTCCCCGGTTGCGCACGGAGGAAGAGCAGCCCACCCGGGTGAGGATATCGGGGGAAAAGTTTCCTCCCGGGTGGGGGGAAATTTTTTCGCCAAGCCGCCCGGGAAAAGTAAACGTGCCTATGTCGACTATGTGGCCCCGAAATGCAAGCGGGGGCCCGGGGGCCCATTTTTGGGACTACGCGTTGCGTAAAGCATATGAGCGTCCACCTTTCCCGGTGGCCTGGGAAAAGGGGGATAAAGATCCGGGGGTTTTCTGCCTGCCCCAGCCCCCGCTCCATCACCCTCTCCGTTACTTGCTCCGTCACCCGACATCAACCCGCCCTCTATCACCGTCAAGGCCCAACACCCTGCTGAGGGAAATTTCGCCGTTGGCATTTTCCCGCTCTTTCAATCCCCTTTCCCTCCTGCTCCCTCCTCTTCCCCGTTTCCCGGTCAGCATCTTTCTTGGAATCCTTTTCCAAGAGACAACAATTTGGGGAGCACGCCCCACCACGGTGAAAAAGGGCTGAACGCCCCCGTCCAAGTTGCGGTGCTGCAGCCCCTTTCCCTTTTCCCCAAAGGGGGAAACTCAGCACCTTTCCGAGAAATGATGGCTTGTGCCGGCCCCCGCGGTGGAGATGCCAAGCCGTCATTTTTTTTCCCAAAAAAAGGCAGTGCCCGCCCTGCATTCACATTAAAGAGATGGGGGCCAGGGCTTTGAGCATGTCGGTCTCCCGCCCAAAATGCACGGCAAACGCCGACTTGGGGGCTGTAACTACGGGCCCGGGACAGTACTGTTTATTTACGGCACACTGGGGGAACGTGGTGGGCCCGGGACAGTCCCCCAAACCCCAACTTGGGCAGGGCACCGGGCGCTTTTTCCACGTTTGCACGTCCTTTGGGCCAACAAAAGATGTCCGCCTCTACCACCCATATTCTCACTACCGCCTGTCTCAGACGCCGCCACCCCAGTAGCCAAGTCCACATTACCTACCGACCCGGCATATCACATGTGCAGGAGCGCAACGGTGTTCCACGCTGTGCTGCACCACCTGGTATGCCTGCGAACCGGTAGTCACACAGGAGGGGAAACTTCTGAGTGCATTGAACAGAGAAAGCGAGCAGAATGGCTTGTCTGCGCGCTAAACTGAAAATCCGGAACCATGGCAGCGGCAGAACGGAATTCCACATCATCGCCTGATCTGCGACGTTGCAACAAGGTGGAATTCAACCCTACACATGTTAGACCGCCTTTACGAGCAGCGAAAGGCCATCACCGATTTCCTGATGTTACAAGCGGATAAAGGTACTCCCCTGTGTAACTTCGATGTCAGCCATTGGCAGCTCATGCGTGACACCTGCCGCTTGCTCAGGCCCTTTGAGGAGGCCACGCTATTCGTGAGTCGGCAGGACTATGGGATGAACGACGTCATTCCTCTGTTGCACGTCCTGGAACAAATGCTGTTAACAATGGCTGGTCAGGGTGCGGTAGACGTGGCGCACAGATCTCAACGCCACATGACCCCTGTGGGGGCCAGGACAGGAAGAAGAGGAGGAGGTAGAGGAGGACATTTGTGCTCAGGAATTATTGAGTGAAATGGGTGGTTTTTTCCACTCAGCGGACAGGAGTGGAGGAGCAGGAGCATCTGGTAGAGGAGGAGGAGGAGGAGGAGACAGAGGACCCAGACGCACCGTGGCAGTATGCTGTGGAGATGGAGGCAGGGAGTCCCTCGCATTCCTTGGCGCAAATGGCCCATAGCATGCTCGGTTGCTTGCGTAGCGACAGCCGAATAATAACCATCAGACAGAGAGATGACTTTTGGCTGTCCACCTTGTTGGACCCTCGCTATCGTTCCAAAATGGTGGCCTTTTTCACACCTGCTGAGAGGGAGGCCAAAATTACGTACTATAAAAACCACCTATGTAGTCAGTTGGTCTCTGCCTTTGTGCACCAACGTCCATCCTCAGACACTGTGGGCCCTGTGCGCTCGCGTTCCGCTGCCATGGCAGCAGCAGGGAGGGGTGGGGTGGTAGGAGCAGTGGCAGCTCCACCAGCAGCGGCTGCCTCAGTCTGCAGTCGATGATGAGTAGCTTTCTTCACCAGCGCAGTGAGGAAACTACTAACCAGCCGCAGCAGCAGCAGCAGCATCAGGTGGACCTGGAGCAGGAGCTCAAACAACAGGCTTGGGCCTACTTGGACAGCACCCTGCCAACCGAGGTAGACAATCCCCTTGACTACTGGGCAATGAAACTTGACCTTTGGCCCCAACTAGCTGAATTTGCCCTTGAAAGGCTGTCATGCCCGGCCAGTAGCGTGGCATCGGAGCGCGTGTTTTAGTGCGGCAGGAGGTATTGTAACTCCGTGGAGGACACGACTGTCCACCCAAAGTGTGGAGAGACTCACGTTTGTGAAAATGAATCAGGCGTGGATTAGTCTGGATTTCAAACCACCAGTTCCTGACACAACTGACTAAATCCGCCATGAATCATGCCACAAACATGTGCCACTTTCAGGTCTCCTCACACACTGCTGGTGTGTTCCATTTTTTTGTCATAGGGTGCTGGCAGATTACGGGCCTCCCATTGCTGCTGTCTCCATCGCCACACTCTGCCATGTGCCACATTCAGGTCTCTTCACACTGCTGGTGTGTTTGAAATTTTTTGACATAGGGTGCTGGCAGATTACGGGCTCCCATAGCTGCTGCCAGGCCCCTAATCTGCCATGGGCCCCTGTACCGCCTCCTCATGCTGCTGCCAAGGTCCACAGTCCATCTCATGCCATGTGCCACTTTCAGGTCTCCTCACACTGCTGGTGTGTTGAATTTTTTGACATAGGGTGCTGGCAGATTACGGGCCTCCCATAGCTGCTGCCAGGCCCCTAATCTGCCATGGGCCCCTGTACCCGCCTCCTCATGCTGCTGCCAGGTCCAGAGTCTCTCATGGGTCCCTGTACGGCCTCCCATTGCTGCTGTCTCCATCGCCACACTCTGCCATGTGCCACTTTCAGGTCTCCTCACACACTGCTGTTGTGTTCAATTTTTTGACATAGGGTGCTGGCAGATTACGGGCCTCCCATAGCTGCTGCCAGGCCCCTAATCTGCCATGGGCCCCTATACCGCCTCCTCATGCTGCTGCCAAGTCCAGAGTCTGTCATGGGTCCCTGTACGGCCTCCCATTGCTGCTGTCTCCATCGCCACACACTCTGCCATGTGCCACATTCAGGTCTCTTCACACTGCTGGTGTGTTGAATTTTTTGACATAGGGTGCTGGCAGATTACGGGCCTCCCATAGCTGCTGCCAGGCCCCTAATCTGCCATGGGCCCCTATATACCGCCTCCTCATGCTGCTGCCAAGTCGAGTCTCTCATGGGTCCCTGTACGGCCTCCCATTGCTGCTGTCTCCATCGCCACACTCTGCCATGTGCCACTTTCAGGTCTCCTCACACACTGCTGTTGTGTTAAATTTTTTGACATAGGGTGCTGGCAGATTACGGGCCTCCCATAGCTGCTGCCAGGCCCCTAATCTGCCATGGGCACCTATATACCGCCTCCTCATGCTGCTGCCAGGTCCAGAGTCTGTCATGGGTCCCTGTACGGCCTTCCATTGCTGCTGTCTCCATCGCCACACTCTGCCATGTGCCACTTTCAGGTCTCCTCACACTGCTGGTGTGTTGAATTTTTTGACATAGGGTGCTGGCAGATTACGGGCCCTCCCATAGCTGCTGCCAGGCCCCTAATCTGCCATGGGCCCCTGTACCGCCTCCTCATGCTGCTGCCAGGTCCACAGTCTCTCATGCCATGTGCCACTTTCGTCTCCTCACACTGCTGGTGTGTTCCATTTTTTGTCATAGGGTGCTGGCAGATTACGGGCCTCCCATTGCTGCTGCCAGGCCCGTAATCTGCCATGGGCCCCTGTACCGCCTCTTCATGCTGCTGCCAGGTCCAGAGTGTGTCATGGGTCCCTGTACGGCCTCCCATTGCTGCTGCCAGGAGGCAGCAGGGTCGCAGCAGTGTCAGTGGAGGCAAACGGCCACGGAGTAGAGCACCAGCTCCACTGCAGCCTACCACCACGGCCAGTAGTGGTGCCGGTGTGCACGGAGGAAGTAGCAGTCAGCCAGTGAGGAGTAGTGGGGGCAAAGTTTCCTACTCGGCAGTGTGGCAATTTTTCGTCAAGCCGCCCGAGGAAGTAAACGTAGCCGTATGTCGACTATGTGGCCAGAAAGTCAAGCGTGGCCAGGGGGCCCATGTTGGGACTACAGCGTTGCGTCAGCATATGCAGCGTCGCCATTCGGTGGCCTGGGAAAACAGTGATAAAGATACGGCGGTTCTGCCTGCCCCAGCCCAGGGTTCCATTTTGTCATAGGGTGCTGGCAGATTACGGGCATCCTATTGCTGCTGCCAGGCCTTAATCTGCCATGGGCCCCTATACCGCCTCCTCATGCTGCTGCCAGGTCCAGAGTCTCTCACGGGTCCCTGTACGGCCTCCCATTGCTCCCACTCTACCATGTGCCACTTTGAGGTCTCCTCACACTCCTGCGGTTTTCCATTTTGTCATAGGTTGCTGGCAGATTAAAGGCCTCCCATAGGTGCCGCCAGGCCCCAAATCGCCAATGGGCCCCGTAACGCCTGGTCACGCTGCTGCTGGGCCCACAGTGTGACCTGGGTCCCTGTACCGCCTCCCATTGCTCCCACTCTACCATGTGCCACTTTGAGGTCTCCTCACACTCCTGCGGTTTTCCCATTTTGTCATAGGTTGCTGGCAGGTTACAGGCCTCCCAAAGGTGCCGCCAGGCCCCAAATTGCCAATGGGTCCCCGTAACGCCTGGTCACGCTGCTGCTGAGCCCACAGTGTGACCTGGGTCCCTGTACCGCCTCCCATTGCTCCCACTCTACCATGTGCCACTTTGAGGTCTCCTCACACTCCTGCGGTTTTCCATTTTGTCATAGGTTGCTGGCAGATTAAAGGCCTCCATAGGTGCCAGCCATGCCCCAAATCGGCCATGGGCCCCCGTACCGCCTGGTCACGCTGCTGCTGAGCCCACAGTGTGACCTGGGTCCCTGTACCGCCTCCCATTGCTCCACTCTACCATGTGCCACTTTGAGGTCTCCTCACACTCCTGCGGTTTTCCATTTTGTCATAGGTTGCTGGCAGGTTACAGGCCTCCCAAAGGTGCCGCCAGGCCCCAAATCGCCAATGGGCCCCCGTAATGCCTGGTCACGCTGCTGCTGAGCCCACAGTGTGACCTGGGTCCCTGTACCGCCTCCCATTGCTCCCACTCTACCATGTGCCACTTTGAGGTCTCCTCACACTCCTGCGGTTTTCCATTTTGTCATAGGTTGCTGGCAGATTAAAGGCCTCCCATAGGTGCCCCCCCAGGCCCCAAATCGCAAATGGGCCCCCGTACCGCCTGGTCACGCTGCTGCTAGGCCCACAGTGTGACCTGGGTCCCTGTACCGTCTCCCATTGCTCCCACTGTACCATGTGCCACTTTGAGGTCTCCTCACACTCCTGCGGTTTTTCCATTTTGTCATAGGTTGCTGGCAGATTAAAGGCCTCCCATAGGTGCCGCCAGGCCCCAAATCGGCCATGGGCCCCCGTACCGCCTGGTCACGCTGCTGCTGAGCCCACAGTGTGACCTGGGTCCCTGTACGGCCTCCCATTGCTCCCACTCTACCATGTGCCACTTTGAGGTCTCCTCACACTCCTGCGGTTTTCCATTTTGTCATAGGTTGCTGGCAGATTACAGGCCTCCCATAGGTGCTGCCAGGCCCCAAATCGGCCATGGGCCTCCGTACCGCCTGGTCACGCTGCTGCTGGGCCCACAGTGTGACCTGGGTCTCTGTACCGCCTCCCATTGCTCCCACTGTACCATGTGCCACTTTCAGGTCTCCTCACACTCCTGCTGGTTTCCATTTTGTCATAGGTTGCTGTATGGCCTCGCATTGCTGCTGCCTCCACCGCCACACTGTGGCTCCACACTCTGGTTTTGGCCCCGTGACTGGCCAAATGAGTGAAATGTGCGGTGATTCTAAGATCGACGGCACTCATCTGCATGTCATACTGAGTGACAGTATTATTTCTCTTCCCCAGCAGACTCCAAGGACATTTAAATTAAAGGTACAGTGTTCTGCACTAATATTAAGTCTCTCTGAAGCCTAGAAACACCCTTTTTTAAGTTAAATTCACCGCGAATATATTCGACTCGAATCGAATATTTGCCACGAATTCGCCGAATCAGTCGAATCGAATTTTTGAATACTTCGCTCATCTCTAAAGCTCATCATACACTATACAATATGATTGTACAATCTCCTTTAGCTCTAGGGAACAAGGGAAACAATGATGAAGGCAAAGAGTGCCTGGGTCAGACGGGTCCAGAAGAGGTCAAACTGTGGCTTGTATTACAACCTCTGACCTCTTTTGGACCCGCTCGACCCAGACACTCTTTGCCTTCGTCATTGTTTCCCTTATTCCCTAGAAAGGAGATTGTACAATCAGATTGTATAGTGTATGATGAGCTTTACAGACTTCCAGGGACACACTGTGGGAGCACCGTAGTAGTTCATTGAAGCTTCCTGTCAGAATATCTGCCTGACTGTACACCCCATACATCCGGTACATTTCATACACCCCATACATCCCGTACATTCCATACATCCCGTACATCCCATACACCCCCTTACACATCCCGTACATCCCACATATCCTGTACATCCCACACATCTCGTACATCCCTCACATCCCGTACACACCCCATACATTCCGTACATCCCTCACATCCCGTACATCCCACACATCTCTCGTACACCCCATACATTCCGTACATCCTGTACACCTCATACATCCTGTACATCCCATACACCCCATACATCCCGTACAACCCATACATTCCATGCATTCCATACATCCCATACATCCCACACATCCCATACACTCCATACACCCCATACATCCCGTACAACCCATACATTCCATGCATTCCATACATCCCATACATCCCATACACCACATACACCCTGTACATCCCGTACAACCCCATAAACCCCGTACATCCCATACATACCATACCTCCCATACACCCGTACATCCCACACATCCCATACACCCTATACACCCCGTACATCCCGTACATCCCATACACCCTATACACCCCATACATCCAACACATCCTGTACACCCTGTACATCTCATACACCTTATACACCTCATACATCCCGTACATCCCATACATCTCATATGGCAAGCAGGTATTCTGACAGGTCTGCAGGAGACCTGCATGGCATCAGCAATCTACTGATCTCTGATGCAATGCTTTCCAGGCTCTTTTGGACAAAAATAATGAATGCACAATGTTTTACCTGCAAAAAAATGTACATTTATTATTTTTGTCCAAAAGGTGATCTTATCCTTTAAGCTGTCTTTGGATTCTGCTGGGTTAGTACATTGCACACGGGGATCCTGTCCATACAGACCGGGTCACGGCATAAAGTGGTATTTGAAACAGCCCATTGCTACCTAATACAAAATTCCAAACTGTCCGCCTCATATTGTCTGATATCTGGAGATCACATATCCCCTCTTATTAAGCCTGGGGTTCTTCAGACATATTTTACCCTCCATGTCCCATCATTACACCCCTCCCCAGTCTGTGCCCTCCATACCTCTATGAATGTCAGGGAAAGATATCCTCCTGGAAAGGACAGGCTCAGCCATACTTCATCATGAATACAATTTCCATAAGCCTTTGTGGTTGGAGGTGATGGGATGGTGATCTATGGAACACAACAAGCACACAGATCAGTGTGAGACAGACCAGGGCCATGACCTAAAAATGCTTTTATGGCAAACTGCATAACATTTGTGTAGCTCCCTCCTAGTTTGGTGCTAGGTTTACATAGTGAGCTTTAGCTTGGTATTTGATAGGTAAATGTAATATCCCACTGTAGTCTGAGTGGCTGTAAAAAGCATGGTCAGATCTCTGTACTCGGTGAGCTGTGATCACTTAGTTAGGTCTGCTCTGTATGCTCAGCTGCTACCAGTCTGCCTATAGCTTCCTCTGTATCCAGGAGACTGTAGAGGTTTCTGGATGATAGGTGTGGCATTATGCAGAAGGCAGCATGAATATTGATAGAACCCCAACCTATTGACCAGGGAGAGGCTCTGAAGGCATGCTGGGTAGCAGGATTTATTCAGTGAGCACTGAAGTTCTGGATCTTTCCTGCATAGGATCGTTCAAGCCTGAGAGAGGACACACTGCCCTCCCAGACAACTACTGCCATGTGGCTTCAGGTGGGAGACCTGAGGGCCTGAATGCCAAGTCCTGGGTTCTGTTGTGCTGACTGAGGGGCCGTCTACTGAAGATCTGGTCTGGTATCACAGAGGAAGGCATTCAGCTACTCTTAGGCCTTGTGAGTACAGAAACCCCTAAAGGATCTTAGAGACTAAGAGCTGGTTAACCCCTTCTAATGCTAGGAAGTCAGGTACGGTGTCTACCACAGGGCTGGTGTCCACCTGGCCTACATTTAAAGGGGCAATGCTCTGGGGCTTTGAAGAAGTTACTGATACTACCACTGTTACTGCTACTACTACTACTTTTACCTTTTACTACTGCCCTAAAGGTGAAGGCCGATTGTTTGATTCAAGCAGAAACTCTGACATAGTTTGCTCTGAAGATTAGATAAAGTTCTTAAGTGTACATAGATCTTATTTTTGGAGTATCCCACTCATCTCCCTCATCCCTATCCCAATTCTCCAAAAGTAATAAACACAAGACCCCTATACTGGTTATTGGAGAAACGTGTGAATGAGTCCATGTGGCTGGCTGCAGAGCAAAGTAACTGGGAAGGAACTGGACAGTAGGCCCATCAAAAAAGGAACAAGAACAGATTGGGATTTTCATGATCTGAACACCTTCTCTCAGAACAAAGACAACGCTTTAAAGAAATAAACATCAACTTTTATTACAAAATTAAGTTCATAGAGGACTGAAAGAATTGAACCCTCATATTTGTCACTAGTAGCTCCAGTATGAAACGCGTTGGAACTTGTCCCCCCCCGCCTACAGATCGATATACTGTGTGATTTACTGTATTTACTACATCATTATGTAATAAGTTACACTAGGAGGGGTAGTGCACTCTGGGGGGTTGTGATGCTAATGACAAATATGAGGGTATGATTCTTTGAGCCCTTTATGGACTTACCATTTTTAGGAGAATCTTTTACCCCATTCAATTGTACTAATTTTGTAATAAAAGTTTTGTTTTTTTAATTTAAATATTTATTAATTTTTCAGATAAACAAGTTATACAAATATACTCATTAAAACCTTAGCATATTATCAAAACATTTATCGTTTCATCCCTTTCCCCCCCCGTCCCTCCACCTCCCCCAACATATATACCACCCATCCCCCCTATCCAATCCCCTTCTGCTCTGCATTTTTTCTGTTTATTTCTGGAGATCGTAATCCCTATAAAAGAAGAACAAAAATATGTTTCCATATTATTCTATGTTAATCCCCCACAACCTCTAAGGCTAGCCTTGACTTTTTGAATTCCTCCCATTTGTTCCATCTTGTATGGTGACTCTCCATCTTATCTTCATTCATTCACCCCCCCCCCCCCCCCCCCCCCCCCCCCCCCCCCCCCCCCCCCCCCCCCCCCCCCCCCCCCCCCCCCCCCCCCCCCCCCCCCCCCTCATGATAAAGTTCCTCCAATTTACATATTTGATCCACCCTATCCACCCAGTCTTTTACTTTCGGCACCTCCTGTCTCCTCCAATACTTGGGTATCAGTCCCTTTGCTGCATTCAAATAGTACAATAAACCCGATTCTTTGTATTTAACTGAAAGCTTAGTACTATGAAAAAGGCAAATCTCTGGGTCTACTAGAATATCAACCTCTGTAATTTTATGAATCAAGCTTACTATTTTCCCCCAATACTCTTGTATTTTAGAACACGCCCACCATATGTGATACATTGTGCCTCTACCTCCACATCCACAACAACATAAAGGTGAATTATCTCCACTCAATCTGTGTGCCACACTCGGTGTGATATACCATCTTGCCAAACACTTATAATTAATTTCTACCTCCTGACTGTTTATATTTACATGGATTATTCTATACATTTTCCTCTGTTTTTCCACATCTATTGTTACTCCTATTTCTCTTTTCCATGTTTCTATATATGTAGGACTTATATCTGTGTTTATTTCAGTGAGAATCGTATATATTTTAGAGGTTCCGTGTTTCCCACCTCCCCGTATACCTAATAAGTGCTCAAAAGGAGTCCAATCCCCTCTTAGACTTAAAGGCTTTGGAAGCTTTCCTATGAAGTGTTTCAATTGAAAATAACGTCACTCATCCATTCTCATAAAAACTTCGCCTTTTTTTTTTCCAATTCCTTAACCAATTCAATACCGTGCAATTTTACACCTTCCTGCCCAGGCCATTTTTCAGGTTTCAGCGCTCTCGCACTTTGAATGACAATTGCGTGGTCATACAACATTGTACCCAAACTAAAATTTTATCATTTTCTTCACACAACTAGAGCTTTCTTTTGGTGGTATTTAATCACCGCCGGGGTTTTTATTTTTTGCTAAATTAACAAAAAAAGACTGAAAATTTTGAAAAAAAACACGTTTTTCTTTGTTTCTGTTATAAAAGTTTGCAAATAAATAATTGTTCTTCATACATTTAGGCCGAGATGTATTCTGCTACATGTCTTTGGTGAAAATAACCCAAATTAGGATGTATTATTTAGTTTGTAGGAAAGTTATAGAGTTCACAAACTATGGTATAGATCTGAAAATTGATCAATCGTGAAGTACTGACAGCCAATCTAATTTCTTGAGGTCCAAGAATGTCAGAACAGTACAGATATCCCCCAAATGACCCCTTTTTGCAGAGTAGACAGTCCGACGTACTTCATAAGAGGAATGGCAAGTTTTTTGAAGTTGTATTTTTGCTCCTGGGTCCTAGTGTCCTGCTGCCTGCATGTCTTGACAGACCCCTACGCATGTGCAGACCCATGCGTCGCAATGGTCCCTGACATTA